AAATTATTATTATTATTATTATTATTATTATTTGTTTGTTCACTTGTCTTCATTAATGTGTTTTCCTGTAGTGCTTGCCTGTTATTTGTCTTTGACTTTATATTGTGATTGTCCGTAATGTAATTACTTGTAGTTACACTGTACTCTGTCAGTAATTGGCCTTGCGGCTATTGACTCGACACATGAATAATAAAGAATTGAACTGAATTATTATACTGCAGTTCAGACGAACTCAAAGAGCTAATTTGTGATGATGATTTTGTGTCTGTCTACATCAGGTGAGTTACGGTGCCGAGGGCATTTCGGCGTCACACCTGCACACCCGACAGCACTGCTCATTGTTCGATGTGTCGCACATGATGCAGACAGAAGTTCGGGGACGCGATAAACTGGCTTTCTTGGAGAGCCTGACAACGGCAGACTTGCTTAACATGCCTGACAACACTGCCACACTCGCAGTCTTCACTGACCCCTTAACAGGCGGCATCCTGGATGACCTCATTATCACAAAGACGTCCCTCGGATATTACCATTTAGTGTCCAATGCTGCAAGAAGAACCCAGGACCGGAAACTCCTAGAAGAGGCTCAGGTGAGCGCTGCAGTATGGCAGGCGGAAGTTTTGCGAGCGCGCACTCAGGTGGAAGAGGCGGTCAGGTCTGACCTACCCATAATGCGTAAGTTCAGTTCACGGTCGCGCTGTCTGGGAAACTCATTACGCTATCATAGTTCACTCGTCATAGTTTGTAATGAGGCTCGGATGGACGACCGGGGTTTGATTCAAAATAGAGTCAAGTGATTTTTGTTTTCGTTGCCACCTCAAGACCGAAACAAGGGCCCATCCAACCTGTTATCCAGTGGGGATTACAGGCTTTTTCTTGGAGTCAAAGCAGCCGGAGAGTGGAGCTGACGGTTCCATGATATGGTGCATAGGTATACGAAAAATTTCATCTTTACTTTCAACATATAAATTAAATACAAAAATTTAAGTTAAATATGTATGTAAATATTGTGCCTGCAGCCATCCGCTCATGATGGTTTCTCGCTCGCAGATTTTTCTACCCTGAAGATGGAGGTGATACGTTCCTCCGAAACGTCAGTTCACACAAGATCTATACGGCGCAACATCCCAGAAGACGGCATTCTTCATAATCACCGCCGTGGAAACCTCACATCTTAAATTTAGTTCACTCCAAATTTGACAGTGACGTGTAGAATATTATCCAAATTTTGAACTTCAAATTCACTGAACATTACAAATGAAACGTGAAATCATGAGAGACGATGACCAAAGATCCAGTCTGTATCCACATATCCGGAAAGAGAGGGACGCTTGGGGAAGCTCATGCATTCGGAAATAATGTTCCTGTCCCTAAGGGAATTCTGAGGGCGTGGCTATGTATGAAGGATGATGACAGTCCACTACTGAGAGGGTGGAACTGTTCAAGGGGGTGTGAAAGTCTAGACAAGGTGTTAGGAAGGACGGAAGCAGTCCTGAACCATCTTTACTGGTCACCATCGATTGGCAGGGGATGGTTGGCTGAATGTAATCTACAGCTTTGAAACTGCGGATGTGACATCAATTATATCATAATTATTCCAGGAAGCTTTGTCAGTTAATTAGTCCAAAGTCGATGTGATTATAAGTGCTGAATGGAAAGGGTGGGGGAGGATGAGGTTGAGACCTATTTTAATCCTGGAAGGGCCATGTAGCCTATACTGTATTTCACATATGTCGCTCTATAAAGTCCCACTATTATATCAAAACTGCCAACTGCAATCTTAAATTGGACTAGACTGTGAATTCATAAATGATGAGCAGAGGGCGAAAGAAAGTCACTTCAAGGTCACTTTATTTGAAAGCACAGCATGTTCTTACAGTATTTGTGTTTAATTGTAACGTTGCCTAGTTCATGGCCTGAGCTCGTCAGAGGATCTGAGTAGTAGCACGGACAATAAAGAGGTCCAAGACTCTCCTGACAATTGTACAAGCACACAAAACCCTCACAGAAGAAGAACTAGAAGATCCACCCATTGACATCCTAAGCGACACCTATTACGTAGGAGCCCACTTCCGCAGTCAGTGGGGGTTGTATGCACTTTATTCACCGAGCTAACACTAAAGTCCTGGTGACTATAAGTGCACTTTATAGTGATAATCGTCGGAGTTAACATTCTTCCTAGGCCGCGCCATAACTCAAGCGGTTAGTCGCTGGCTTCCCACCGCGACGACCCGGGTTCGATCCCGGGATTTGTGGTGGACAAACTGGCGCTGGGGTAGGTTTTCTCCGAGTACTTCAGTTTCCCCTGCCAGTCTTCATTCCACCAATTGTTCCACAATCACCCTCACCTATCATCTGTGGCTGGTACAATAGGCCAGAAGTGGCCGCAGTACAAGGGACTTAGTCCCACCCCACTAGCAATAAAGAAATAATATTCTTCCCACAACACATCCTAGGCCTAGCGCATATGCCCCAAGATATTCACACATCCAGAAGCCTACACTCTGTGATACATCGTCATATCAATCGGATCGGCGATTTCATTCACAAGAGCACTAATATTCAACTTCCTTTTATGGGAAAGAATATGAAAAAAAAAATCGAAAAACTTATTCCTGAACGGAAACAAGAAATTTATCGAGTGACGTCCAAATCACCCTCAGTCAGAACACAGTTACTCCGAACTAGCAACCATCACTCAGAGAATAGACACGATACACAGAATAGGAAAAATGCTAGGGTGTCCATGACCTACTATGTAACGTACGTTCATGCAAAGTGTTAGCACTATGGAAAACATTCTTTGCTATGGTAGCCCGAAGTTATATAATTTCAGAGCTTACATCTCATAGGTTTCCGTAAAGTGATTCAGAATTCATTTTTTGCGTATAAATACTGTTGTTTAATTTAGAATTTTTGTATTGGTTTGTTAATTACATTGTATGTTTGAATTTGAATAGTTCATTGAACATACAGGGAACTAGTCACTGCCTTTTTTCTTAGATTTTTATATGAATCGGGTGATGATGTATTCAGCGATGGAAAATGAGTTGTAAATTCCATGACAGTAACTTGTAGCATATCCCTACTGTGGTGATATTGTTTATGATTCCAAATGTAGGGGCAGTGAGAATGATTTGGCGTAGGCTTCAATCTTGGAGACATTGTGTTCATACTTCGACCGAAACATCATTGACCTTGAATAAGGTTTTATTGCTCTGCTTCAGGTTCTTCAGGTGGATTCTGTGGCATTGCCCTTAAATTATCCATAACTATACCATACAATAATCTCACTATTTTCTCATTTCATTGGCATTGATAAGACCGAACGATATATAGACAGACAGAGATTGGCAAAAGAAACATGTTTCATCCGTGGACATTCTGTCCACCCAAATGGAGGTGCTGTTTCGTCGTTTTACTCCAGATGCTTTCTGAATTCCTTTTCATCACTATCTAATATCTAATTTAATTGGTCCGAGAGTACTTGGGAATTTAAAAACACTCTTATGTTTATAAAACTCCTAAAGCTCATTCAAGTGACTTCTGTTTAATGCACGGACTGTTTCAGGCTGCGATGCGAGCGAAAGGTAAAGATGTGGACATTCGTTTCTTGAACCCAGACGAGCAAGCCCTTTTGGCACTACAAGGTCCGGACACCGCCAAGGTTCTGCAGCCCCTGACCGATGTGGATCTTAGCCACCTGTACTTCATGGAAAGCACCATGGCCACTGTGGCAGGGGTGCCCAACTGCCAAATTACACGTTGCGGTTACACTGGCGAGGATGGTGTTGAGATCTCGTTAGCTGCTGACCAGGCCGTCAAGGTAGCAGAACTGCTGCTCTCTTCGGAGGTAGCTCCAGTGAAACCAGCTGGACTCGGGGCAAGAGATTCCCTCAGGTAACTGTAAATACTGGTTATTCGTTCCGTCAGCCATACACAACTCTGAGGAACTTCATGACAAGTTTTGCCTTATTAGGTGCATTTGTAGTCTTCTTGCGTCTATAATGCAACAAGTATCAGTGCAGATTCAGATGACATTAATCCATATTTAATTCATTAAAATGTTCGTCAAAATGTTTATAAGTGTCATATATATTGTGACATGTTGCGCAACGGAGGACCCCTACCTCCCCAGCGGCACGTGGCGGCAACGTAGCGCTCTCGTTACTACGGTAATAGGCGAGTCATCACCCCGCCACTCTCCCCACGGTGACGTAACGCGCAACGCGCGGTGACGTGCCGAGCGGAGCCGAAGTGAGCCGAGTCCCAGCGCACTGGTCGCTATGCAACGCGGATAACAGTGGTTGCGATAGACGACGGTAGCAACGGTGATGCCTACCACGTGGTTGTTTTCTCGTTGCCCTGCTGAGGGTTTATAAGGGAGCTACACAGCCGCCGACGAGAGTTCTCAGTTCGCAAGTTACGAGTTACAGACGCGTGTGCGAGAATCAGTGATAGTTCGTGATAACCGAGTGTATTTGGAGTGTGTAACTCAGAGAGATTTGTATAGCTCCCGCGTTATTAATACGTGAAGACTCTTGAAGATAGTGTGAAGAGATTTGGTTGTAGGGTTTGTAAAGTGTGGAAAACCGCAACTGTGTTGTAATTAATTGTAGCCGTTACTTGTAGGTTGTTGAATAAACCAATTAACAATCCGAACGGCGTCTTCAGTAATCAGACACGTTGCAATATATACACACACACACATTCTGTATTTACGCGCTACATGATACACCCAATGGAACACAAGAGTGGCTGCAGTACAAAAGATAGGAAGATTACTATTGACAAAGTGCAGAGTGCAGTGTTGCCTGAAGATGGCCCTGTGTGTCCGAAACATGTAGAAGATAAAAAAAGGCAAAACAAGAACTCCGTGATTTCAGTCCGCAAGCGAACTAAGAGAATATACATACAATATATACATTTAAGGAACATTTTAGTGAATTAAACTTAGTGTCATCTAGATCTGTACTGATATTGTTGCATTAGATACGGAATAAGACTACAAGTGATACTGCAGTGCAACAGAATGCTGAAATATGATATTATTAGGTGAATCTGTACGTTAGATGAATTTTGAGAGACATCAACACACACCAGCTGGGAGGTAGGAAATTATGAGGGGTTGTTGTATTAGGTTTTTGTTTGTGTTGATTCCTATATAAACAATATCCGAAACAAGGCGGATGGCTCTCTTCTCACTGGTCTCTCGACAGTAAAGGACAAATTTTGGGTACACGACTACTAGGCATGAATATTTTCATCTACACTGAGCTTAGAGCCTCTCTGTGGCAGAGGCATTTAGTGTTTTATTGTGCCATAGGGTCTCGTATATTTCAGTGTTAACACATTTACTGCCAAAAATGATTAATGTCGCTTAAGCCAGCACACACCACATTAGGGGGCACGCGATAGCGTAGGTGGTTGAGGCACTGTGCTACAAGCCAGAAGGTCGCAGGTTCGATTTCCGATGAGGTTACTGGATTTCTTCAGTTTACCATATCCTTCCAGCCGTACAATGGGCCTGGGGTTGACTAAGCCTCTAACAGAAATGAGTACCAGAAATCTTCTTGAGGGTAAAGTACGGCCGTTGCATAAGGTTAACAAACTCACCGCCATCTGTGAATGTGGGAGCCTCGACATCTCACAACCCTGTGGGCCTCCATGGCCTGTTACCGGGATAGTTAATGTTGTGGTTATGATTCGCAGGTTAGAGGCTGGCATGTGTCTCTATGGTAGCGACATTGATCATACGACAACCCCTGTGGAGGCAGGACTTTCCTGGTTAGTCGCTAAGCGACGCAGAACAACAGCTGACTTCCCAGGAGCCACAGTGATCATAGACCAGCTTCGCAACGGCCCAAGGAGGAAGCGTGTTGGATTGAAGTCGAAAGGCCCTCCAGCGAGAGCAGGAGCTGCAGTTCATGCCTTAACGGACACACCGCATGAGGAAATCGTTGGCTACGTTACTAGCGGATGTCCATCTCCGTCACTGGGCGGTAACATAGCCATGGGATATGTGAGGAGTGAGTTGGCCAAGTCGAGCACGAAAGTTCTGCTCAAAGTTCGTGAAAAAAGCGTCGAAGCTACAGTGTGTAATCTGCCCTTTGTGCCATCCAAGTATTACGTGAGGAAAACAACGTAATGTATAACTACAACGATTCTGTAACTTAATGCCTAAGATGGAAGTTGAATAATTGAGATTTGTAAGACCTTTACGGGTTACTGCAAAACTAGGCCATTAACGAAATACGGAAGCGACAGAAAATTCAAACACGATCAGTGTATTTGAAGGAATTGATTGGCTACAACGAAGTGCAGGATGAAGACAAAGAGCATTAAATAAAAACTAGACTACAAGCAGATAGGAGAAATAGACCCTAAAGTCGCGAAGAGAATGTAGAGAGACAAATTACACCTAGAGGCTTTAAGATGAGGCAATTAAACCTAATGCCGGTCACGGTAGCGTAGCGGTCTAAGGCATGTACTGTCTTCGCTCGCTTGGAAACCGGGATCGTGGGTTCGGATCCCACTCAGGGCATGGATGTTTAGTTTGTGTGTGTGCGTTTTTCTGTGTTTGTGTACAGGTAGAGGCCTTGCGACGAGCTGATCACCCGCCCAAGGAGTCCTACGGAATGTGTAAGATCTAGAAAAACCGACGTGAACGTAGAAGTTCATGGAGGTAGGCCTAGGCCCACTGGGGCTGTAGCGCCAAGGAAAAAAAATTAAACCTAATACTTCCAGGTTGACAATGGTGATGACAGATAGGAAGAAAATAATAGGTGTACTTTCACCAAGTTGTATTTAAATATCTGGAAGTATTACACCAAAAGTAGGCGTCACTGAAACATATTTCATATTAATTGTATGTACATTTAAACCACTTCCATAGAACCTAGCCTCAGAATTCCAGTGATTCGACATCAGGAATCCGTAGGAAATAGATATACGTGTATTTGTGCCATCAGCGATAATTTGGGACACCATTTGTGAAGGCATTGTTACATGTCACACAGTGACCAAAGACGGGGTTCGGGTTCGTATTTGGATTTATTAACAACCTACAGGCCGTAAATACCAATAATTATAACACTTTCACACTACAAAAGCACTGCACGCTACTCTCTTAAGTCTCCTCTCCACTAGTCTTCACGGATTTATAACATAGAATGTATAAAAGCCTCACTAAATCACACATTCCCAATACCACTGCACCATAGAACACACAAATTCTTCAAACTACGTGTTAAATCCTCACAGACTGATCTTCTGTACTCTTCTGTACTCCTAGTTCCAGTTCGCCCTGAACTTACAGCTCACGGCTCTCGTTATATAACTGCGGAACTGACATTGACCTAGTAAACACATATCACATGACCGCTATCCAGCCAGCCTATTGGAGCGTCGGTCAGATCTACAGAGAACAGATGTAACGTGATCACTATCTACTGTTGTGACGTCACCGCGGACACGGAAAATACAGCTTCCTCTTGTTGCGTGATGGACCGTGTTTACTGAGCTGTTGCCAGGCAACGCGTTAATCAAATCCGTTACAATATAGTGAAGGTGTCTAAATATAGGTCTTGGCTTTAAAAGGTTCTGACAATGGTATATAACACTCAGAATGGCTGGATTTTTGGCCTTTGTCCATCGTCCGGTATTCTACGAAGCTAGAGAACAATTCCATCTTCCTGCATTGATTAAAGTTAGCCCTTTCTAAGGGACCGAAAATTCTCTCCCTCACCTGAGGACTGAAAAGATCCAGTTTCCGAAATGTTGTGTTCTGTAGTATTTTAGAATAACGGACAATGGACAAGCTTCAAAGCTCAGTAATTCTGAATATATCTTGGTTTTGTTTAATTTATCTGCACTCTCCTACTACTTAATATAAGTGACTCAAACGGCAAATGATTAAAACTGTTGCTGTATTTAACGATGATGAATTTGGATCTCGTTATCTTCCAAGAATGCTGAGGAAAACCACGAAAACAGTCTTTGAAGGTAACAGTCTCCCGATCGATAATCGAACATGGAATTTCCGGAATACAAACCATTTAACCGCGACGTTCAGTCACGAACTTCCACGAAGGGACTAAGAAAAATCATGAAAACTGCAAGTCACTGTAACGAACCGTACCACAGTTTTTGGGTTGAAATTACTAATAACTAATTTTAATACCAGATACGACAAGTAGAATGAAAATTTTGTATGCATGCATAATGAAACCAGTGAAACAAAATTTCGGAGGCTGTATTGTTGGTACTACTAATCGAAGGGACTTAAGAGTGTGCCGTTGAGATGGCTTTATGTGGCGTGATATATACACCAAGTTTAGTGAAAATTGTTATTAGCGTTCAAGCAGTTTTAAGGTTTGGCCTCAGAAATTTGAGAGACTGTAATATTGGTACTACTGTTCAAAAGGATTTAAGAATTATACCGTTGAGTTGGGGTCAGGTGCCATGGTATACATACCAAGTTTCATAAAGATTAGTTCAGGAATACGAAATTAATAAGAGGGGATACACATTCATACATACAAACACATATACACAGACAGGAAGGTGACCTCATAAGCCTACTTTTATTCTTTCAAAAGAATGAAAGTGAGCTTATAAGGATCATCATGTTGTCTATGTGCAACTCCCAATTTCAGTTTCGATCTGTGAACCAATTTTGACGTATTTTGGTACGAACGTCGTGCTAGTGGGAGCCACGCAAATCTTGTAATTTACATTAATTTCATTTTACCTTCTTTATCCATTATTTCCTTTCCTGTTTCCTTTCCTGTATTTGTTTGTTTCTTTCTTAGGACCTACTTGAATTATATATTTTTATTATTCTTGGTGGGGTGAGACTGAGTCCACTTGGTACTGTGGCCACTTCTGGCCTATTGTACCAGCCACAGGATGATATATAATGATGATTGTGGAACAATTGATGGAATGAAGATTGGCAGGGGAAACCGAAGTACTCGGAGAAAACCTGCCCGGGGGATAACCGGCTATGATGTGAACTTCCATCTAGCGCTGAGGTTAAGAAAGCCTTCAGCTCCTGGTATTTAGTTAAGCACAGAGATTCTTTCCTCTCCATCATTCCCTTTTCCTCCTCCTCCTCTCTTTCTCTCTTCCTTTTTCACTCCTTTCCTTCTCTTTTTTTATTCCTTCAGTTCCCTCTCCAGTGTTTCTTTTCCTTCATTCATGCAATTAGGTACAAATCTAAGACGCTTATAAAGGAAACCGCCGTGTGTTGCTCCCGGAGTTATCAACTGTTCTCCCTCCTGCACTTCACATGCTGTAAGTGGTTAACCTGTTCTGTAGTAACATACACGAGGAGAGACATATCTGTTTTCTGGGTAATCCCAGTGTATTAATGGAAGATGAAAATACTGACGCCATGTAATATAGAAATTTACGTGTCGGTGGAATTTATTGCATTCATCTTCAGGGTCACCTGCTTGTTTTCTCGCTCGGCTAACTCTTCGACGTCCATTGTTACTGCCGTAAGAATCTCGAATCTCAGAACGGAGGTTGCTTTGTTGTGGAGAGTGATGTAATTCGCTGTCAGTTTCTCGCAAAGACAATTTTAATTTCACGCAGGATGGGCAAGATAACCTTTTAGAATTGAAATCATGTTTATGCGGACCGTTTTGAAAACGGTGTTCAATTTGCATACAAATATAGAGTCTGAAATCATTTCCCTGGGTTCCCTGCATGTTTGCATTTAAGACGGCTTCAGCTATTGAGAGGGAGTTCTGGCAGAAGACGGGGGTAGTAGATTTCTGTGGGGGGAGGGGATGAGATGACGGTACAATCTGAAATCGTAACCACAGAAGTGAACAGATTTGTCTGCTTCTATTTCTGCTATTACATCGGATGCTTCGGTTGGTTCTGAATCTCCAATTCAACATTCAACTCTTCCCACTTACACATTCGCTTTTCTATTGTGGGAAAGGTAAATAATCCAGCGGTAGGCCAGGGTCGTTCAGAAACGGGAGCCATAATTCACTTCGTTAATAGTGGGAATTGTCTTTATGCATGATATGCGTGAAAGAAGTGCGCTTTATATAATTTTCCTAGTTGTCTGTCAGTTGTACTTATATCATTTTTAATCCCAAAGATTATACCTAAATTTGCCTTGGGTTTCTTCTTACGAATTGTCCGTAGTAACAAACGCAGTCGATAGTTATCGATAATATCGATAAATATCGACAGTGGCGCCCTAAGCGCTGAGCAGCTGGCAGTGCGGTAAGGTTGCATGCTCAGGTGTCAGCAGAGGTGGCTTCATGTATGGTTTAGTGCTGTGTCTCAGTTCAAATGGGAAATTATCTTTCTCATAACGTGTTTTTGCTCTTAAAGTTGTGCCTCAATACTTCTCTTTTTTGGTAAGAAATCTGGGGATGGCTGCGGAAGAAGGTTATGTGAGTACACTGTTATGTAACATAACTTTTAATGCATGATTAAACTGGTTTAGAATGGTTCTGGTACTTCGAAATCGAATTCTGTTTATTTTGGTGGTAAACATGACATGCAGCCGCGCACGTACTGTCCCCATCTGAACCCCAGTAACGTAAGCTGAACATCTGAACTAATAAAGAGGGGATACAGACAAAGCAATGTAGGAGAACTGAGTATAGGTTCTGTAATTTGACCAGTTTTCTTTTCCAACAATGATAATTAATACAAGTCTGAAATAATATTAGTCATTCGCATTTCTTAAATACAGTTAGTTTGTTAGACAAGGCGAGAGCGAAGAGAACTTGCGTTATGACTCGGTCCAGATTGACGCAATTTGACTGGCGCAGCGCCCCATTATGCCGCATGAATGCGCAGCTGCAAGAAAGAAAGCTGAAAATTTTAACAGAGAACGTTTTCTATGTTGGAAATTAAATGGACATAAAAATGACATTTGATGAGAAAAATTACGTCCTAAAAATATTCAAAGGAATTCGAATTTTTTGCGTCTTGAATTGAATATTACAGAGTTCCCTTATCTACAGCCTGCCTAGACATAAAAAATACGCGCTAGCGCAAACTTACATCGAAATAATACGTTAGAAAGGGTACCGGTTCGAATTTCGGTTGGCATAGCGACTCTTCTTACTGAGGTATTTAATTGTTTTATTCAGTCCCTCTATGCAAATGCCAGAATAGTACCTCAAATGAGGCCACATCCACGTACTTCCGCGTTTTTTCCAATTTATCGTTCCTACAATTCGAGGCTAAGTAACCTGAGACACTGCTGGCATCATCATTAATCAAATGATAAGTAAATGGATTAGAAAATTAACAGCAAAGTTCTGAAGAATGAAACACGCAGTCAGTCGGTTTATAAGTGGAAGAAACTGAAATTAAATTATATGACAGTAAGGGCTTCACATTCAATTAACTGTAAGCCGAGTTGATTTTCACTCTGTAAATATTTGGGTTCATATCGGACGTGACTTCGAACTTCGGAGATACCAGCGCTAAGTGGCTTGTGTATAATGTAGAGAACTGTATGGAACACTTCCGAGTCTAGAAGG